ACGTAAGCAGGATCTTGTTGCAGAATATGAACAGGAATTGATAAGGAATGTTTATTGTAGCTTGTCGGAAGAGGAAACGCGGAGATCACTTTGAAGTCTTACTTCTTTGGCACCTTTACCGCTAGCGTGAAAATGATACCACCGGATATGATAGATTTCCAATCTGTATTTTTGAATTTTTCTGAGAAGTTGATGGATACGCCATACGTGTTGTGTACCGTGTTGGTAGTACTTATCGCCCTTGTTATCACCACCCTGATACTACGGAGGCGAGATAACATCGACTCTGCTCTGGTATGTACATACAAATTCAGTTCACTATCTATTACGCGAATAAATGTATTTTAACTCATGTATGTTCAGCCCTCGGGTACATCGAGGAAAAACATTTTATGTTAGATATCATCTGTATGTTTACAGTGGACATATCACAACCTTATTGACAACAAAGCGAGTTCGACCTTCCCTTATTATATCTGTGTATCTACTGGAATAAGATCAAACAGCCATATTACGTCTTCGGTGTACATAAATATCATCGGAACCAGAGACGAGACGGGTACACGGTTGTTAGCAGTAAACGACAGAAAGGTACTGAATATGCTTTTATTTGTGGTACTTTTATGTCTACATGAACATTAAAATCTTTCCACTAGGTTATTTTAAGGGACTTTTATACTCAAGTTCAAATATATATCTTTTCAACAAGGACAAATTATAGCACCATCATCTATGTAAAACAAAAATCCAAAACTATTTTGAATTTCTTCCCTATTGATCATTACAGAATTTCGGAAGGGGAACCTCGTCTCATTTCTATTTGAAATCCGATGTTTATCTCGGAAATATCAAAACTGTACAAATTTGGCTGGGAAACGATGGATTACAGTCTTTGTACTTGTCCAGGGTTGTCATAATAGATGGAACGACAGGAAAAGCGTGAGTACACAGACTAGCCGTTGTAACGTATTCTGTAATATACTTCCAGTTCTGGTACAATTTTGTCTTTTTGTTTCAAACTATAGGTTACATTGTTAAATCGTCTTGTCAAGAATTTACTGAAATATTGGTGGATCGCATCGCTATAAGTATAACCTATTGACCCTGAAGTTCTTAAGCTTTCAAATCGTGTCACACTCTCTCAGTTGAATTGTAAGTTTCCTGAATGAAAATACGCTTCATACACTAGTTGCAATAGTTTTACTATGGAAAAATAGAATAACAACACTAATACTTTTATGACTCATGAATAGTTCATGTCACTTTCTCAATAGTTGATTAAATTATGAATGCGTTATGTAATAAAGACTAGCCCCCGTTTCCGTTGTCTCCAGGGAATATTATTCTTTTGTTTTTTTTTTCTAGCTATTTTTTTTTATTTTGAGAATTAACAATTTGTTTCATGATATTATAACATTCAGGGTTCAGCTGAAATGCAACAACTGGCTTTCCCTTAAAAAAGGATCCGGTCAGACATGGCGCACATTACGTTTTAGAAGGAATAACGATAGCAGGAGCCATGTTTCTGAAGTCAGCGTTCGACACATCTTTGATGACCACCTGTGGTTTTCGCTTTTGTTCCGCCCGTATTACAGTAGGTTTACAAGAGTCCAGAGACTGTGGAGCATAGCATCTCTCTTGTTCCTTTCAATGTTCGCCTCTGCTATGTATTATAATACTTCTGATGACACACTTCCTCTCCTAAAGACCGAGTATTTTGTGCTGGGTTATAAGGAGATATACACTGGGTTGATGTCAAGTGTGATAACAGTTATCCCATCAGTAATTATGACCTACATTTTCAGCAATAGAAGAATTCAGGGAGAGAAACCATTCGTTATCTTACATGACGATGATAAATTGCCGTTGACTGGAAACCTACCTTGGTGGTCAATATTCCTCGGATACATCGTGTTGGCTTTATGTATCATATGTGGCTCGTATTTCACATTTTTGTATTCTTTGGAATGGGGACCGTCGTTAACTATCCAGTGGATGTCCGCATTTTTCCTTGGGACAACAGAAAGTGTTACTTTGATAGAACCAACAAAAGTAAGTAGAGATCGATTTTTGTAAAACGTTTATATCAAATCACGTCATTGCATACTTATAACACCATATCGGTTTTCTGGGTATTTTCATTATATAGAATTCGGTAATGAAAACAGTACTGCCCTCATTTCTTTTGAATTTCTAAGTGAAACAAATGTCTTAAATCACTGTATGATTAAATTCAATTATTGCATTTAACGCTGTGACTGAATGAAATTCGTTGTCTTTATATATTGTTTACCAAATACCACGCAATCATAATCTTGAATCAAGTTACAAGATATCTGTTACCACATACGTAAACCAGCTATCAGAGTTATGAGTTGTTCACGCAGTCCGTTGTATGCGTTTTTATGAACGTGCAATTGATTTATCCTCTTTTAACCATTTCAGGCAATCGTACTAGCAGTACTTTTAGTCTGTCTATGTTCAGGAAGAACAAATCGAAGAGATTTCTGCCTTCCTTCACTCTCTCAAGTAGACAAGAAACGGCAACTATCACTTGGGCAAGGTAAGACCCACTTTCTACCAACATATATGGTTCGTAGATGCTGACATGTTAAGTGTCCAACTGTTTGCACCAAATTACAAAGATATGTAGTATCCGAGATATGTTTTCATTTCCTCCGAACACACAACTGTATCTGAACTGTCAAGAGTAAGTCATTGTCCAGCAAAGTCTTAAACTTGAAGCATGAGTTCCTTCGTATGTATACAACAGACAACTACACTTGAAATCTCATTCTTTTCTCTCTAAGCATCCTGTTTGTTTCGTCCGGTTTTTTTCTGCTTTACACCTTACATTTCTGGTTTGCGTTTATTGTCTGGCGTATTGAGGTTATCAAATTAGTAGATTCTGCCCCAACATTGTAATAGCTCTCCACCCATTGGTATGCAATCGACTGGTTAGCCAGTTGTAAGTAATGGGACTGTTATTCGACAATGTTCAGGTTCAGACATTTAGGTGTGATAGCACTCTAAGACCGTCCGCCAGCCGCCCCATCACCTTGCCAAGGTACTTTTCACGAATGAATTTCATTTGTACCATTAACCTTAAAATTGCATTGATATCCGGATGAGGAGCGACATGATACTGGCTGTCTCCAAAGTGTAGTGTGTTGTCATGTAGTAAATATCTTTCACGAAACGTTATCCTCCCCAATCCACGATATGAACATTTTTAACATCTGAGTATTGCTTGTTTGTAGTTTTGTATTTTTCAAATTTCGCTTCTGTTGACATTTGATATAGAGCGTACAACTAGAAGAGAAGTCAAATGTCCATGTGATCAACCAGAAACTACAGACCAGATGTACCGTCGTTATACCTTACGTATGGACAGGAAGTTGAACAGATTACTGAAAAAATTTGTCTTCGTGATGATATATGTTGGCATAATTTTACTGATTGGTACACAACAAAGGGTTTCAGATGTAAATGGACAAAACATGCATATAAAGAACATGCTAAAATCTACGCAACAGGTAAATCAATTGAGGGCATGGTATTACCTTGAAATCTTGTCTCCCTGTTCTTTTATGAAATAATTCGATTATACATTATAAAATATTGTTTAAAAACAAGAATTTGAAAGCTCGAGTAAAACTTCCTAGCGTCTCTTTTTTAAAATATCGTTACAATAACCTCACATTTTTGGACTAACAAAATAAGTAAGAACGTCTGTTTATTGTGTATCAGGTAAGAAAAATGGAAGATGTTTGGGATTACATACACAATGTTGTGATACAGCGTCTTTACCCTTCGGAGTTTTACTCATTCGAAGAGCTGAGACTTGTAGGAGATTTCTACAAGATGGGTCCCATCCGTCTCCGACAGATTCGGGTGTCAGGTAATTATGGATTGTTAAAAACAATGCAAATATACCTGTTCATATGAATTGTTTTTCCAGCTAAGAAGAAAAGAGAAGACGGCAAGTACATCCTCGATACTTTCCGGATATCGCTTACTATCGCTCTTATGGCAAAATTGAAGGTCCCATGTGCGACACCTTGTGAATTAGACAAGAAGGTTAAATTGATCCTTTGATATACATCAAACTAATCTCGATGTCGCATAACGGATGGGGAACAGGTTTTGAATTTGGGAGTCACCCCTTAGTAGTTTTGACATGAGCGTAATAGTCTGTGAATGGTCAGGTTTTTTTTTCTCCTAAAACCCGCCGTAGACGAATCAGTTCGCTTTGCTTTTTCCCTCAAGTTTGCCAGGAAATGTTCCCGGACTGCAGAGGACGAAAGTGATCGCAATCTCTGGAGTATCGAGGACGTGGCAAAAGATGACAGATACATACTTCTGCCACGTAGATAGCATACCTTTAATTTGGTAAAGAAAGAAATCGTGGTCATGATTGTTAACATTTTTCTAGAGTGTCAACTAATTTAGGTTAACACAATGTCATTAGATAATATGCACAATAATCAGATAGAAATAAAAAAAAATGACTTTAAATACAATCATGTAAATACGAGCTAAGGTAAGTAGAATTGAGTAAAGATAAAGAAATACGAGCAAGTATAAGTAAATACGAGCAGGGGTAAGTAAATAAGAGTTAAGTTGAATAGGCATGGGTTAATTTTAGTAAATACGAGAGAAGGCAAGTAGGCATAGATGAGGTTTAGTAAACACGTGCGAAGGTAAGTCGATACGAGCAGAGATAAGTAAATACAAGACAGTAGGCACGGAGAAGTTGAGTAAATAAAGTAAAAGTAATACGAGTGAAGGTAAGTATAAAAAAGAGTGAAAGTAGATTAATGAGAGCGAATGTATGTAGATTCAAGCAGAAACACGTACATAAGAAATAAAATTAACTAAAATCAAAGGTTAGTTAGGCATATGTGTACGTAAATAAATATTAGTGAAGGTAACTAAATACAAGTGAAAACAGTAAATATACCTTTTATTTTAAAGGTGCCTGTTCAGCTCCGTCATTGATGAGGAATTATGGTATAATTTGTATTCCTGAATACAATACAGATATCGAAGACACAATGAACTATGGACAAGGTATGGATACTAAATCTTATTTAAGATTGTACAAAAGACACATAAATGAATGGCATCTTTTCATAATTGAGAGTGCAATACAGTCGAAACAATCAATAAATTAAATTGCATCATACAGCTATTTCGTCCTTCTAGGACTCGTCATTGGTGCTAAGGGCTTACATTTATAAGGTATAGAACGGGTTCCCCAGACACTGAATGCATCATTTTCATGAATGATGGATTTTTTTAGCACCTATTATTGAATGTCCATGTTCTCATTTTTATTTATTTCATAGTTCTATGTAATTTTCATTCAAATGTTTTAGGCTGGATCGCAGAAAATATTTCTGATCCATGGTATAACAGTATCCGTCCATATCAGTACCATCATCACAAGCCCGATGCAACCCCTCCGTATTACGGACATTTTGGCACATATGGTGACGGTGGCTTTCTCGCTGATTTAGATAGTGTGCCCACTATAGCGATCGATGTTGCGAGAAAATTACAAAGCGATGTTTGGCTTGACAGAAGAACCCGTGTCCTTTTCATAGAGGGATGCTTTGTGAACAGAAACAACATGCTTTTTACTCAAATTCAGATAGTGTTTGAATTCCCAAGTACTGGTGGAATATTCATGGAGACAGCCGTTGCAACGTCCAATCTCTACCCATATACGACTACATTTGATTTTATCGTTCTGTTTATGCAGATAATATTCTTAATAACAATCTTGGTGCGGTTCGTTTTAGTCGTTGCCAATGTGTTAAAGACAGGCGGTAAATCCCTCGTTACAGTTAGCCAAGTATTTGCTTTGTTTCACCTTGGAGCCTCCATTGCCGCTGTTGTGTTCCTAGTCATGAGATTCACTAGCACAATCGCTGTTCTCAACACTATACGCCAGGATATCGGTAAGCCATTTTTTGCATCCATGTAGTAAATGTAAAAGTTATGTACCTTTGATAATTATTGAACTTTTGGAAGAGAAATTATGTTGCACTGAACTATCTAACACAAAGACTATACATTTTGTGGGCGACTTCTCTATAGATAAGAGGCGCAGGATTATTCAGTTAGACTCTTTGACAATCTTACCTCTTTTATGTCTATTATGACTTCTTCCTGATAGACTTAGAGGTAACCTCGATAATTTGTTGATGAAACGAGGGGTTCCATGTTTTGGTAGTATATTGTCGTGGGGATGACTAACCTTGAAAGAAATTAGGCTACAATATTATACCAATACAAAACGAGATAGAATTATCATCATAATGTAACTTATAATTATAATTTCAATAGCGAATGTTCGGATTCGAATTATTAGGTAAATATAAATATGTAGCCGTCTGTACCATAACAGAATTATCTCATTCAAAGCACTTAATCATCCGTGTTTAGTGTTAAAAATACCTCCAACAGCATGCCTGAATTTCATAAGCTGCTGCCTGTCGAAATAGCGATACATATAATTTGTTGATTGTTCTGATAATATGAAAAATCCTGTAAATTTTCCGAAATTCAGAGAGACATGATTATTGGTTACTGTAATGTGTAATAATTCACTTTTAGTATGATTATATCTTATCAGTACTTGTGTCTGATATCGGATAATGTCATGAGTACCTATAAGTAAACAAAACTGTTAATGTGCTAATACTGTATATTCTTGATACCAGATCTTGACCTTGTTATTGACAGGCTTCTACACGTCCTTTGGATATGTTTTCCACTGCGATGAATACTACTCCTTTTTTCTGGGTTTGGTCACCTTTATCGCTATCATTGACTTACTAAAACACCTGTCATTCAACTACCACCTCTTCCTACTTAACAAAGCGATCCTGGCATTTCGGATGGAACTTTTTCAGTTTACAGTAGCCCTGGCAGTCCTCATTGTTGGTTTCGCGTGTTTGATCTATCTGATGTATGGCCACACCGAACGCAATTTCAGAAGCATTCCGTTTGGAGTCCTCACACTTTTCCGGATGACAATCGGAATGATCAAATTCCGCAAGGACATTCAAGTTGCAGTCCTAAGTCTTTTCATCATTATAGGAATATACACGTCAATCTCAACGATTTTCTTTATGAATGTTTTCATAAGTTCACTGGACAATAGATTTTCACACATAAAGAAACTCATCAAAAACGGGATGACAACATATGATTGGCATCTTAGCCGACATTTCTGGAATCGACTCACACGACTGATAACTATATGTGGAGCAAACAAGAGGAAAAAGACAGGTTTGTCGAATTATGTACCTACATGTAGTTATATACATGTTTACTTAGGTAAACTGAGCCAAAGTTTTGACCTCACTTTCAAGGTCATGGTTGTCAAATATTTGAGTATTTGCATTCATTTTTCAGCTGAAATTGCAAAACAGGTTAGAATAACGTTAACAAGGAGCAGTGCCCTAAGAGTTGGAAACGTCCAAATTTCTAAAATGTTCTTTAAATTCACATTTACTACAAACAATCCTGTGCAGGCTTTAATCTGTTTGCTAGATATTGGTAAGGCAGTTTTATTAAGTTTGTTAAAAACAAAAATTCAAAACACATGACCGTTTATAAAGTAGTAAGTATACAATCGTTGTCAATATTTAAACACGAATCTGGCGTGTAAAGTGATGTTTGTTGTAGCCATTCTGCATTAATGGTACCAGATATCATAGCATAACTACTGTGAAGTTTATCATACTTTCGTTTCAGACCCTATAAAAGGCAGTGCTGTACACGAGGTAATAAGAATAAAACAGTTGGTCTTTACACTAACATTTTTTTTCGATATTCACCACTGTGTTTGGTAACCATTATTAATGGAGCTTAGTCGTTTCTTTACGAACATTCCAACAGGAACGATGTCGTATATATTCTTCTTCAAATTAGAAGACCTTGTTCCTGGTTTGTCGGTATTTGAGTTATATTCTTATCTATGTTCTGGGTAACGACTAATGATAAAGATATCATAAATATATTTAAGTCCTGCAATAAAATATGGATATACTCTTACCTATGTCAGCCGGAATCTTCGAAATCCGCTCCATTACGTGCCAATTATTAAAAGTATGTTCAGTAGCATATTTTGATTCACTCTTATTTTGTTTGTAATAATTCAGTTCTCATTCTTTAAAGACCCAATATTTATACGTTGATATGTATTATATGGACTTCATAAACGCTAATTATTTATTGTTTCCTTGTGTTAATTCCTTCTCCTACATTACATTAATTTCGTTTTACATTCTTATCTCTTTATTAAGGGAGAATCAACCATATGCAAATTGCTGTCCAAAGTGATGAAAATTATCGGAGACAACGATGAAAAGTTCGAAAGAGACGTCCTACAACTGTTATTGCGAAAGCTTAAACGCAGATGTAGACGTATAGAGACATACAATGGAGTCCAATACAGGTATATGTGATATACCTATCGTGCATTATTCTATGTGTTAAGTCCATTATCAAAGAGGACACAGCGCTGTGATCCTTACGTTTCTGTAAATATTGTTTGGATATACGCGGCAGTCATTCATGCACTTCCTATATGGGCCGCTTTTGTTGTCTACATTTGCGATCTTTTAGCGTTAATGAAACAAATTTTTTTAATGTTGCACTGATACAACGACTCTTACACTTTGCTATATTACTTTTACTGTCCCTGAACCGAACCTATTCTGCCACTGACCTTCATATAATGAGTTATTGATGAAGAAATGGGACACATCTGATGCGCCATAATATTTTTTTTTCTGTGAACATAATGCGAGAGGAAAAGTGATAAATGCTGCACCTATAATTTAGGGGATAATAAAAACAAAACAAGTAGGATGTAAATTCTTAAGAACTTATTGCTATATTTTGCAGCAAATATACATATCATTCTGTAACTAATAAACTAACAATAATTTTGATCTCCTAATTTCTTAGAATCCAAATCTCGTATGTTTTTCAGTTCAAATTCTTATTAACAGTAAATAGCAAAAAATAGTGTAATGCGTAGTTCGGAAACCAAATTGAGATACAGCAGCCTTTCTTTATTTAATTGCGGCATTTAATGATTATTCATCAGAAATAATACAGAGCACTAGCTTTCCAAATAACCATTACAGTAAAACTAAATCAAACAGTCATTGTTTCCCAAACATTTTCGTTATTAATAGATTTACTATGGACCGGTCAGCGGCGGACGAAGCTTTGATTTTGGAGTTTTTTGATACACTGATGAGAACTGGAATAGACGTGGACATTTATACAATATTAGAAGCCAGCAGAAAAGGACTGATTCCTTACGGTGACTTTACTGAACCAATAAGCATGGTCTATAAAATCGGTCTCTCTAAACGAAAACACGCGCGGACATATAGACGGGACGTCATGGCTGGTGGTGAATCTTTGGTAAGAAAACTGTTATTAACAGAATAACTTAGTGAAAACTGAAAATATGTTGGTATTTGATATTTTCTTGCTGTTTCAGTAAAACCTATTTTAAAAAAAGATATTCACCAGCTAGCGCACTCATTAATTGCATTTGATAACGGTATTTCAAAATCATGATGATTATTTCATATAAGCAATATAGCAACGGTAAGTTGGTTTGCAACTAGAAAGGAAACTTATCTTACGACTGTTTCACATATGACACGAGTCTATATATCCGATATTCCGATATATATTTCAGTCTCGCCATATACTTATGCATGTCAATATTTATGTTTTCGTTATTTTCAAAATTGATTAATGACATGGTAATTATTGTTTAGTTGTATAATTCTGGTATAGATGAAATGCAAATGCTAGGTATTTATCGAAGAAATGAATGAAAGAATATTCTTTTAAGTTTATGCGTCATGATATTTCATATCAAAGTCCGTTGAACGTGATATGATTGAATCTATGTTTCACATCTTTTATAAGCAATACATAGCATTTGAACAGATTTTTAGATTTGAAACACATTGAGTTTATAACAATTATGTCTGATATAAACTTCACACTCTTATTTTGAAGTGCGAAGTGGTGATCAAGGTGCCATCCTCCCGACTGTCATGCCGACATACGTTTCTCATCACGTTATGTGATAACTATGGTGACTGGCGACAGCACACGGCCATACAAGATATAACCCAAGAAGAGGTAACTGTGATTATTTCTGTATTATGATCTATCTTGAGAAATATATATATATACTGAAAGGATAAAGAAACGCAGGGTAATATTTATTCCGATATTTTGAAAACGCGCTCTCCAAATAAAGTGAAACTTTGTGGATTGAGTAATTCGGTCATATTACACCTTGTCATGTATCGAAAATTTAGTCACGGTACAGTGCGCAGCTCTGGTAAATGGAGGAAGGAAAAACAAGAATCTCGTGCACCGTGTTGTTCTGGTCTCATGCAGCGTTGGTCAAGTCACTCTTCGTTGGTCTTTATACAAACCAGCTGCTTCCCTAAAATTAATTAAGAATTTGATTCGTTTTAAGAATGGCACGACTCACAGAAGTTCAGAGGGGTCAGGCCATTCAGATGCTGATGCAAGGACAGCTGCAAAATCAGGTTGGTAGGCACTTTGGTGTTAATGTTTCCACCATAGAGCGTCTTGTAAGACGTCTTCGGGAAACTGGGCGATTGGCCGATCGACCTAGGTCAGGACGTCCGCGCGTAACGTCACGACGTCAGGATCGCTATATCGTCGTCTCTCATGTGCGTAATCGGCGCCTTACTGCCGTTGAGAGTGCACTTAATGTTCGTGGAAATCATGGGCGTCCTATAAGTTCAAAAACTGTAAGGAATCGATTACGAGAAGTTGGTGTAAGAGCACGTGGCCCCTACGTAGGTCCACACCTTACCCCTGCTCGAGGTCAGCGTCGTATGGCCTGGGTCGCTGCACATGCTCCACGACGGCTTCCACTGAGGCATTGGAGACAAGTTTTCTTCACGGACGAGTCTCGATTCTGTCTTTATCGATCTGATCCGTCAACGTGTCTACCGACGTCGTGGCGAACGTTTTACGGACGCTTGCGTTGTAGAGAGGGATAGGTTTGGGGCGGTTAAGTAATGGTGTGGGGAGGAATCTCACACGGGTTAAAATCACAATTGGTTGTTATTGATGGCAATTTAATAGCAGCTAAGTATAGAGATGAGATCCTCCGACCCCATGTTATCCCTTTCTGACAGCAGCATAATCTAACCCTCCAGAAGGATAATCCTAGGCCCCACTTAGCAAGGATTTGCCAAGTCTTTCTGGCCAGTTGGATAGAAAGGTTCGAAAGCGCCAGCCACCCTCTGCTACTCGAGAGCAGTTGACCAGAGCTCTGATTGAAGAGTGGGACAACATCCCCATAAGACGGATTATCGCTCTCATGAACTCTATGACCAGAAGAATAAGGGCCGTGACCACAGCAAACGGCGGACACACAAGATATTGATGACTCAGTTCAATTTCAATTTCAAAATCCTATGGGTCCATTCAATTTAATCGTTAGTACCTCTAAACCAATTGTCAGATGCAAAATACAGACTTTGGAAATTTTTAAACTTTAATTTATCTGTAAGTATACACAATTTCGTTTTAAATGAAGCCCGATATATCATACTTAATTTCTGGTTTAAAGTTCACCCTGCGTTTCTTTATCCTTTTAGTATATATACATGATGGGTTATCTTGATGTAATGAATTATCTTGATATTTCTTTAGAATTAACGACATACTTGTCATACTGTCATCCTTTATAAAAATTGATAAATCATTGATAAACAAAACAAGTTGAAGTTTGAGTTGCAAAATTTTTTGTCGATTTGGATTTCTTTAGATTTAGAGGAGATAATTGGGATTAGAAGTAAAAAGTATAAACACATTTGGTGCAATATATCTTTAGGACTCTTTAAGTAAGGCACATCTATATGTATTTTGATTCGTACGACATCACCACACTTTGTGGATTCCATAGATTCCATAAATATTTGGTTTTGATTACTTGTGATAAAGACCTAGGGTAAAATTATTTTCATAATTTCAATTCAAGAATTGTACAAAGGGGACATATTTAAATTGTATCTTTCTGTATAAATTATGTATTAGATACATTTTACAGTCGTTTTATCCTATCACAATTCGTCAGGAATACTGGGGACCCAATGCCTTGGAATCTAGGACACTATTAACGGAAATCAAAATTGACCAGAACAGTTGTTAAGCTACAAATGAGAAGATCTCAATGATTTTCATATGATTTGAAAGGAATGAGGAGTTTGGGATTCTATTATAAACTGTTTTCATACCAATTTGACGCGGGGTAATTTGAGAACTTATGATATAAAGTTTAAGACGATACGTTTGTTATGATAGCTAACGATCTTACTCTACAACTTTGTATTCCAGGTGTACCTTTCCGCAACCATATCATCTTGTCCGCGGTATATTATGGCTGTAGCCTCGGATATTTTGCCCGGAATTTCAACTACAATCCTGCAGAACAACTCTTTCGAATACCTACTTACTAAAAGGGGGGGTGTATTCTATCCACCCGGGCTGTGCAAGAAAATAGTCTTTATATTTCCGGCGGAGTCTGTATTGCTAGACACCACAATCACGATACTGGTAATATATATTGTTACTTCAATGAACACCGTTGTTATTTTTTACTGACCATACATATTGTTCTTATATTGACGGTCTATATTGGTATTTTTACAAACGCCATGATCGCGATATCAGTGACATATACTATCACTAAATACCATGACTGTTACATTACAATATATACTGCTGTTTCATAAAACACCTTGATAATCATATTGGTCTTATGTAATGTTGTTGCGTTTAACAACGTGACTCTCATTCCGCTAACTATACATATGATTCCAATAATGATATATATATCTATAATTTCTTTGTGGGTTTTGGTTTCTATACCGATTATCTTGTACTCAATAAGTTTTGTCAACAACACTAATTTCAAAATGTCACATTGACTTAGAGGAATAGCTGATCACAAGTTTTGAGCGAGACGAGTCCAACAGATAAAGCAGTAGTCCAGGATTCAAATATCCATATTCTAGTCCCAAAAATGCAATATGTTGTGTTTTTACTACACAACGTGATCATTTAAAAGGTTATATATGTCATTTATCGCTTAGTAACTTGACTATTACACTGGAAGTAAATATTATTATATAACATGTCAACATATTAGAATTTCCCCAATTGTAATAACTTCCACGTCTTGGACTGCGATGATGCACAAATCAGAAACTGTGATTAAGAAATTACCGTTTTTATGATTATATATGAAAGAAGATTTGCTTTAATCGTTTGCGAATGTATCGTTTTTGGAAAGTGATGTGTATGGAGAATGTGTGGAGATTGAGTCCATTTCAAGGCCGAGAGTGTTTAGGGAATAAGACTTTTTTAATTATGAAGTACTATCATTGTTCTTCAACACTTATTTTGGAAGAAATACTCAAGGAACATCTTTGATGATAATTTGATTTTTGATATGCAACAACTTAAACAGAAATGGGATGGGAAGTACCGCATCTTGAACGTTACATTGCATAAGATATGCAATACGACCAAATATTAAAAAAAAAGAAGAAAAAAACATATTCCCGTGCCGTATCATTAATTTCTTTGCTATTCAACTGCATTCATCGCAATACCAATAAAAAATAATTTTGTCGCGTACTGTTAAATTATAATAAGTGAATAGTGTCCTTTTATATTGCTATATTTCAATCGTGCTGCACACTCGAATATAAGACACATTTGTGGAATATCTTTGTTATAACTGAAGACAATATTAGATTACCCTCTCTATATTTATTTGCTTTCACTCTCTCGTATTGTTAAGTTTGACTACTAGATAAATGTTACTATTGTGTGTTACAGCTGGAGCGTGGAGAAAAGTTCCCAATACTACACGTCGTGGCTAGTGGTGATGTGTCCGGACCAACCACAGTCATGTACATACGGAAGGAAGAACAGGAACACTTACCGACCGGTGAGTATAAAAAAGTTGTATATTCAAAAATGAAATTCGAACTTTTTTTATAATCGTTTTATGTCTAAACCAAATTAAGATATTTTTGTATTCCCAGACTGTTAATGATATTAAACTAAATGAAAAAAAAAAATAAAAGTTTAACTTTCAGTGCTTTTAAATCATGTTATCAATTTAATGGTGGCGCTGAATACAATATATATATATGCCTTTTAGGGTTTAAGTCTTTTGATGTTCTAAAGTTGACCTTGATATATCTACATATACAAGTTTGTAAATGTGTAACGTGCAGCCTAGCTTTGCACACGGTGGGTAAGTCTCTGATAACTTGCAGAGACACTAGCTAACAAATGCCGATATATACATATAGCGTGGAACAGCAAACTCTACCTGAGTTAACAATAAAACTAACGAACGAACTAGTATTCACATGGACTGCTGTCCCGACACAGACTGTTCTGACTAGCATGTGCGCGTGAGTGCAAGCTCGACACCCAGTGACTTCACCTAACCCTAGTTCCAACTACTGAGCTAGTCGCCGATCAATACCACTTAGTCGGTCCTGGCTAAGCACTAGGTTGTCGTACCAACTAAGTCAACCCTTGCTCGTGTTCTAACCTAACCCTATAGCTAGTACCCACAGTCAAAAGTCCAAACTTCGGTGAGAACTAAACAGCTCTCGCACCAGCTTGACAAGCGGTTTCGGAAAAGCCACTGTTTCAGACTTTCACCCCCCACCTGTTACAAATAACTGTGTTACAACTTTGTAAGAAGTCTTTCGTCGTCTGTGTATCTCTGAAAGCTTCACTAACAGTCAGTATAACAGCGATCTCAATCACTCAAAGTAATTTCTATTTACATGTATAATAAACTCTTTCATCAGTTATGACAATCGTTGGTATTTAATTAACCATTAATGATGCATACTTAAATATTAACATAGTACAAAATACCTTTCCATACCTTACTACATAATTATAAACATTTGTATTAATCGACAAAAATCATTAGATGAACAAATTAACCAATATGTAATTAGCTATAATCATATTCAAGGGACATAACTCTTATACTTCAATTTCCATTACACAAGTCATATTCAAGGGACATACCTTTTATACTTCAATTTCCATTACAAATGTATATGATAATAAAATGAGTATCTTCAGAATTTGAACGATTTTATTAGCTTTCAAATTCCTTCTCTTGGAATTATATTAAAATTACATTGACAGAAAACATGCCTGAAATAAAGCTTCTAACAAAGGAAGGGGATCTAGAATGGAAAGAAGGCGTTACCGGAAGACAAACTGCTGGAAAAGACTTATGTGTTGAGATCGATTCTTTACAGAAAGGGTGAGTTTTTTCCAGATCAAGATTTCAGGTTTTTCGATCGTTTCACGTGACTTCAAAGAGTATCAATAAGGGAAAAAATCATATAACACATATTTACTCTCTCGAAACTTGAACTGCAAATAGTCAAATACTCTTTGTCATATTTTTGTCACTCTTTGTGTGGTTTTGGTCTTATTATTTCGTTTCGTTTATATTTTCTTTCAGATCGTAGTTTTCCTTTTATCCTTAATGAAACGAAAACGTCCATATCAGAAAATGAACATTTAAAAAATTTAAATTAAATTAAAATTTACATCAGAAAGGAAAAGCTTCCTCTTGAAATGTGTCTTCCTGTGAAATTAATGTTTTATCAAATGAGTAATTAGTTCTCTCCAAACAAATATGATAATAGTACTCCAACTGTTTATTTACATAAAGCAATAAGAAATGTAATAGAGATCAACAAGGAGTTAAAATCATATGTATAATTACGCATTTTTGAAATCACTCGAGAATTACTTCTTTTTTGTCTACATGTAGATGATGTGTAATATGCAATTTATTTGATCTCTTTTTTTCTCAAGATAAAATACAACATGTATGTAAATAATTATATTGGTCCATATTTTGCAAAATATGTTTAATGTAACGGGGATTCAAACATGGATACGATGCTACATTATTCATCATGCCTGAGAGTAAAAAATGTCAAGAGTCTACGTATAATTTTATTGTGTTTCAGAGTAAAGATATCAGTCAGTGCATGTGAATCAAACTACGTCAGGGTAAGTATAACAAATGTACGTGCTACTTTTAATGTGCACTATATTGATAGAGAAACTTTTCAAAAGTTGTCTCTTATCCGTATCACTTTTCACAATAAAATATATTTCAAACAACTTATAAACAAATGTCCAATACATGAAACATAATTGCAGACTTGTCAAAGCAAATCTGAAATGAACTTTTCGGCGGAAGTCAGAGATACGATTACATTTTACTTACGAGAGTACTTTTTACATTCGATGGGTGCTTAACAATTATGACTGTTGGGGGAGGGAGGTGATATGAAAGTTTATACACTTGAAAGTATATTTCCTTAGGCCTTCGCGGAAACACGATGTAGAAGTAGCATTGCATACAAGGATTAGAATAAGTCTTTACTCACTTCGATTGTAAATGTTTACGAGGTCTCTATGGTCACAGTGTGTAGCAAACCTACTAAGTGTTTAGATTTCGATTCGCTAATCATGTGGTCAGACGGATATTTTCTTCCATTGTATATAGTTTTGAGTGCATTAGGAACAGTGATACATGTATCTTTCATTATTTTGACAAACTTGATGAAGAGTACTTAATGAAGATGAAAAGTAGGAATTTGTAATTTGATAGAAAAATATATTAATCTTCACTTAATTCTCATTAAATATGTGGTTATATACAAAATATAAGTAAGCTACTCACACACTATAAAGAATGTGTATTTGTATTTGTCAGCTTGTAGTCAATATGACTTTAGTTTAGGAAGCTTCAGTGTAGACGAAATATGCGTCTGCATTATTCTATATTCAACGAAATTAGTCATACTTCAATAATGTTCTATGGCCGGTTTACACTTTAAGCAATGCATAAATATTTGATAACCTGACAAATGGATGTTACCTAATTCTATTTTGTTTCAACATTTTTAGAATTTAGCAAGAACGGCAAACAAGTGTCTCGGTAAGATTAATATTTTCAAGATAAATGTCACAAATAAATGATACATCAATGTAATTGGTTACATAATACATATATAGAATTGTAGAAGTCAGATTAAAATTTGTTCACGTCAGGTAATACAAGATCATTATTTTACTTCTGTCGTTTTAATGCATTTTTACAAGGTCAGATAAAGGCAAATATCATTTACTGGTTTTATATCTTTTTCGTAGACCATAATAAGAAAATATTATTTGGAATTCATCGGAAATTCATCCCGACTAAACACTGGAGACAAATAGGTCATGCCCTCGGGTTTTCACAAGAGAGTCTTGCGAAAATTGAAAACAAGAAAAACAGATCTCTTCAGGAAAAAACGTGCGTTGTCTTAGAACGCTGGCTGAGATTGAATCCTGGAAAAAATCTGTACGAAATTCTCACTGACTGGGTGTGATGTATCGTCCGACTTTCCACATCGTTGATCATAATTTGACCTGTTTGGTTTATGAATGATTCACGAGGAACCCATAATGGACTCCATATTTTTTTCTTTTCTTTTTCTTGAATTTTGCATAACAATTATATAACTTGTTTTTGTCACACAATATCGTGAATTTTGAAGATATTTTTGTGTTGATTTGTTGTATATTTGTACAATTGTGGCTTTGTAGCATAATGTTTTTGAGTAAAATATCGCATCAACTATCAGTTCCTATTTACGTAATGGTATCATACCATACTACTCATTAGATTACTGTGGTCATTGGTCAAGGATTATGGGTCAAATGTCGCGCTTGGCCATATTTCAAATAAAAAGATGGCATGAAAAGTTATTTAATAAATATTTGATATATTCGTTTTAATATCTAAACAGTACATTCAAACTTGTTCGAGTGACCACTTGAATATAGCCAACCTCATTGTATATTCATATATTTTCGTAACGGTCCCAAGCATTTTTATTATATTATGACACAATGTATAACGACTAAATGTGCAATGCGATTACTGACCTATCATTTATTTCCCGAAAGTATCTATTACGACCGATAGAAGCATCACTGTCAGGCTATAGAGACCCGTCTTTCAGGAAAAAAATGGAATTTGTGAAAATTAATCAATTGACCTCGGTAGAATACCTGAACAAAACACTAACAATTTGCTTTCTTAGCAACCATCCATATCAAACAACTATTACAGTGGAGCGAGACCCCGATCAGGCATATTGACCTTGTCTCGAAACCAACCAATAATTATCTCAGTGATGTGAGGTAGTATTTATAGTCATAGTCAATTACACGAAATTACTGAAACAACAAACTAGTATTACTAGTTAAGTCTTTATGGAATAAAACGTGACGTGTTTGGAAATCACACGTTTTCTTCAAGTGCTGTACAATGACGAAACCAGAGCACGAACAGGATGCAATGTACGTCCATAAATTGTTTCTTTTTACAATAATACTTTCGTCTGAATATTTCTTAAATTAATGAGGGTAAACTCTTTGTTGACGGAACAATATCTTATATGACGCCTTTTTGTCTTGATAAAATACTTGTACAGAAAATATATAACTTCTTAGGGAAAGTCAGATTCTCTGACCGATTACCATTTAGTTTTTTATTATTGGGTAACAAACACTTTCGGAACCATGGTCTCATGATCATGCGAAATGCCGATAAACAAACAGTCTGTCTCCAGCAATTGATCAAAAATGGTTTAATTATTTCAAAAATTAAAACATAATACACTTTGGAACTTATCATCATAGGATGGGAATGTCCTTTATCTAATATATCTATGATAACGGATGACTGTACCGATATATCAAATAATGACAATTTGTAATTTATTTCGGTACCACATCTTTCTTAAATGCTTATTTCATATTTAAGCCAATAAAATATATTTCCATGCAATTTTTGCTTTTAATTACACATTTCATATTCCATATACATCACACGTATTGCTTCATAAATGCCATGCCGCTAATTTGGTAGCAATTAGTTTTATATATCATGACCAGTGTGGTAAAAATGTGATGACTACATCATACCATTCTTAAAAAGACAGGTCCCCAGTCGGTCGTGATAGGCAGGTTTGCTCATAGTGTGGTAATGTCAATTTCTAAATGTGATGAGATTCAATATAATACAATAAATATTTGACATAGTTTATTTGATAAATAAACTTGTATAAAAGGGACCCCATGTCGATACCTGGTTTAGTAGGAGAATACCATTTTGCCTGCGCGATATGAAGTTGGACGTGTTTGATTCTCATTAGTATACTTGGTTGTCACGTTGTTGTTAACATTGTTCTCATTTGGGAACATGACATTACGTATATATCGGTATTTTCTATTCTGTGCTTGTGTTTTTGACTGGTACCGCTTGAAAAAAGTCTTACCCGGTAGCATTCCTTCACCCAATTTGAACGTAGTGTAAGGCGCTATGTACTGGTGTGCCTTTGGTCATTCTTAGGCTTGGACCAATGTGCCTGGAAGGAAAATAACGTAGAACATATTTTACATCTTATCTTGGGCATTTCTTAAAGCTTGTGTCAAACCGAGATAACAAAACGTAAACAACGTAAATGACGTTGTATCGTTTAATAACAAAATTGCAAGATAGGATTTAACTCGTTTTAGCCATGTTACCTAAACAATTCATTGAAAGTGAGAGAGGTTAGACGGCAGTTATCACTATCAATGACAATGGTGCAAATCACCAACGCAGACTTCGTATCTCGACAGATTCTAAGAACTAAATACTAGAGAGGTTCTCCCCTGTTTGTTCCAGTGTGTTATCAAGTAGAATTGTTTTCTTCTGTAACTTTCTATAAGCAGAAGAACACAGGACTGACCTAAAACAATGGTCCCATCCAATCAGAAAGGTCAACAAAATCATAATCCCAACTCAAATTCAGAAAATACTAAAAAATGTTACCCTCTGTAACCTGCTTTGATAATCCCGTAGATAAATTCAACTTCGTTTGGAAATAAAGCGTTGTTATTTCGGGATTTTCCGATATCCAATATCACCACCTTTGTCGTCATCTTAAAAAATGCATTTTCAGCTCACATTGACCGAATTACACTGACCTATTAAGCTGGAAATTAATTGAGTTATTAAAGAAGAATAGCTAGCAAAGTTTTATTTTTGTCAACATCAAAAGTTTCATAACCACCATCATGAAAAACAACACGTTTCAAACCATTGGTGTCATTGAACTGAAAATTGGTTAAGGCGTGAATAAAGGGAAGCCTTCGCCAAAGTTTTTTTTCGGCCTCTAAGCTGAAAAAAAGGATTGTATACATTTGCTGCTAAAATATTCCGAACTGCTTTAATCCATTAATCAATGTTCCTGCTACTATTATTGTTTTTATATCATATAAATGTCTTTGTAAATAGATGACCGTTATGGTCAATAGGTCTCTTATATCATAACTGCGGAAATAAATTCGGTAAATCTAGCTTCAGTCAGCCTCTGTCAACAAAGAGTTCGCCACTCTGTGGTACTACTGGCTTGCTGTTACACTGTGTACATATCCCATCAAATAGATCATTATTTTAAATGTTGAAATGTTGTCTGATGATGTCATCAACGTTGTATTTTTACATATTTTTTAAGCATAATATTTAATATTTGCAAGAATGTATTGACCCCACAACTGATGTATTTGACACATTGTTTTTGGAAGACTAGAGTATTATAAATAGACAGAGTACTGAAAGAAGGAATGAAGAGTATTATATATAGGCAGAATGCTGAAAGAAGGAATGAGGAGTATTATATATAGGCAGAATGCTGAAAGAAGGAATGAAGAGTATTATAAATAGACAGAGTACTGAAAGAAGGAATGAAGAGTATTATATATAGGCAGAATGCTGAAAGAAGGAATGAAGAGTATTATAAATAGGCAGAGTGCTGACAGAAGGAATGAAGAGTATTATATATAGGCAGAATGCTGAAAGAAGGAATGAAGAGTATTATAAATAGACAGAGTGCTGACAGAAGGAATGAAGAGTATTATAAATAGGCAGAGTGCTGAAAGAAGGAATGAAGAGTATTATATATAGGCAGAATGCTGAAAGAAGGAATGAAGAGTATTATAAATAGACAGAGTGCTGACAGAAGGAATGAAGAGTATTATAAATAGGCAGAATGCTGAAAGAAGGAATGAAGAGTATTATAAATAGACAGAGTGCTGACAGAAGGAATGAAGAGTATTATAAATAGGCAGAATGCTGAAAGAAGGAATGAAGAGTAATATAAATAGTCAGAGTGCTGACAGAAGGAATGAAGAGTATTATATATAGGCAGAATGCTGAAAGAAGGAATGAAGAGTATTATAAATAGACAGAGTACTGAAAAAAGGAATGAAGAGTATTATATATAGGCAGAATGCTGAAAGAAGGAATGAAGAGTATTATAAATAGGCAGAATGCTGAAAGAAGGATTGAAGAGTAATATAAATAGTCAGAGTGCTGACAGAAGGAATGAAGAGTATTATAAATAGGCAGAATGCTGAAAGAAGGAATGAAGAGTATTATAAATAGTCAGAGTGCTGACAGAAGGATTGAAGAGTATTATATATAGTCAGAGTACTGAAAGAAGGAATGAAGAGTATTATAAATAGGCAGAATGCTGAAAGAAGGATTGAAGAGTATTATAAATAGGCAGAATGCTGAAAGAAGGATTGAAGAGTATTATAAATAGTCAGAGTACTGAAAGAAGGAATGAAGAGTATTATAAATAGGCAGAATGCTGAAAGAAGGATTGAAGAGTATTATAAATAGTCAGAGTGCTGAAAGAAGGAATGAAGAGTATTATAAATAGGCAGAATGCTGAAAGAAGGAATGAAGAGTATTATAAATAGACAGAGTGCTGACAGAAGGAATGAAGAGTATTATAAATAGGCAGAGTGCTGAAAGAAGGAATGAGGAGTATTATATATAGGCAGAATGCTGAAAGAAGGAATGAAGAGTATTATAAATAGTCAGAGTGCTGACAGAAGGAATGAAGAGTATTATATACAGGCAGAATGCTGAAAGAAGGAATGAAGAGTATTATATACAGGCAGAATGCTGAAAGAAGGAATGAAGAGTATTATAAATAATCAGAGTGCTGAAAGAAGGAATGAGGAGTATTATAAATAGTCAGAGTGCTGAAAGAAGGAATGAAGAGTATTATATATAGGCAGAATGCTGAAAGAAGGAATGAAGAGTAATATAAATAGTCAGAGTGCTGACAGAAGGAATGAGGAGTATTATAAATAGGCAGAGTGCTGACAGAAGGAATGAGGAGTATTATAAATAGGCAGAGTGCTGACAGAAGGAATGAGGAGTATTATATATAGGCAGAGTGCTGACAGAAGGAATGAGGAGTATTATAAATAGATAGAGTGCTGACAGAAGGAATGGAGATTATTACAAATTGACAGAATGCTA